GTGAATGAAAATATGCACACTAAACAAAATATTTTTATTCATATAGTACGTTAAGTGAGGGTAGATAGATGTAACGTGTCACAAGGATAAAAAGTTTGAGAACCACTGGACTACTTGAATCATCACTAAAGCTTCTATAGAGGCATCCTGGATGGACAATGACCTAGGATGAACAACTTAGTTCCAGAATATATCTATATAGGACTAATGTGATGGAGGCCAATTTAGCACTGAGTTTGCTAGTGACACATCTCCATGAGAAGTGACATCTGTTTGTGGGACAGGACAGACTGTTGCCTTTTCATGACCTGTGACTTGCACTGGTTATATTGCCACCTGTCTGGACTCTGTCATCAAAATCTCAGATTTATTATTTAGCAGACCACATTTGCCACAATGAATTCAAGAAACCTGACGTGGAGGATGCTCTGATGTGAAAAGCTGCCCTGTACTTGTCATGGAATGTGAGCAACTTGGCAGGTCATTGTGTGCACAGTAAAATGCCAAGGATGGATTTTTTTAAAAAAAATGTTTCAGAGTTTAGAAATCTGAAGCTTAGGAGTTTTAAAAGTCACCCTTCATAGTGACTGAAGGAAATATACAAAATTAGCTACAGTGCAGTGTGGATCTCTAAAATAATAAGCAGGAATTATTGGTCTTTGAATGATTTTTTCTTTATATTTTGGAAATACATACCTGAAATTGCATATTACCTTTTAATCAAATGTGTGTTGGCATTAATTCTGGTTATCTGAGGAAAAGGATTTCTGTTCATGCTCATGAACCCATCCATGCTCATGAACCCGCTTTTTATTATTATTTCAAGGGTTCTTCACATACGTCAGTGGAAATATGTTTCCCTACTGTCTCTGGGCAGCCTAGGCTTACATTATGTGTCACTGGCTGCTTCCACACAGCAGAATTAATGCAGTTTGACATTGCTTTAACTGTCATGGCTCCATCCTATGGAACCCTGGGATTTGAAGTTTGTTGTGGTGCCAGAGCTCTCTGAGAGAGATGGATAAATATCTCACAAAGCTACAAATCCCAGAATTGCATAACATTGAGTCATGGCAGTGTACATTGTGTCAAACTGCATTAATTCTGCAGTGTAGCTTGAACCATAGTCTTATATATTTATAAGATTCCTTTAAAATATTACTTTATTTACTAGGCAGGTCTGAAGAAATGTGAAATCTTACAGTACAATCCTATGTAGAACTGGCCATTCTTAACTGAAATGAACAGTTTTTTGCATGGTGAATTTTATTCTAGTATCAAGGTATTGGTTGATTAGATTTCTGGGTTCTAATTGTTTAATCAATAAAATAAAAAAAAATTATATCCACCTGCATGACAGATGGGTAACTGAGAAGACTAGGAGGGCACATTAGTTCTCTAGGAGACCTTGGAGGCTGCACTCTCCCCACACCTGCTCCTGCCCCCATTCAAAATAAATAAATAAATAAATAAATAATTATTTTTTCTCCCAAACTCTCTGTAGGGGACACGGGAGCATGTTTTTGGGCTGTCTTGGGCCCCTAGAAGGCATTTTGGACATTTTAAGATTTTTTTTAAAAATAGACTCCAAACATGATAGAAGTGCTATCTACACTTCTTACAGATCATTTTTGGGCATTTTTGGGCATTTTTGGGAAGAAAGAAATTGTTGACTCCTGGGGGCCCCTGGGGTTTAAAAACTGCCTTTTGTCCATCTTTGGTTTACATGTTGTACTAACTCAGCAATTGTTCAGAATCCTTATTCTTCTTAAAAGCAACAAATTATATCAATATTGTAATAAGTAAATGCATTCTCACTGTATTATGATCCTTCCAGATGGGCAGCCTCCAGTGAAGGCATAGGAATCATGCAGCCCTGAAGATATGGATGGACTGCAATGACCATTGCCATAACCAAGACAGGCAATGGTGAGAAATACTGGGGATTGCAGTCAACAACATCTGGAAGGATGCACGTTCCCTCCCTTGTCCTAATACTAGAAATGAAAAGGTATAGTACAGCTTCTACATCACTTCATCCTTGATCCTTCAAAGGGTTTTGGGAGTAAGAAAAATGATGGAAGATGTCAGGGATGATGGGAGTTGTAGCTCTTCACCTCTGGCTCTA